TTATAATAGGAACCTCAGGTCCATACTTTTTTATATATTTATATTCGGTCTGGTCAAACACACTAGACTGTTTCACCACTAAACGAACCGATTTTTTGGAAGGCTCGTCACGTGTTCCGCTAACTATGTTAGAATCTCCAGGAAAGTACTGAAACTAGTCAACCACATCCAGAATTTTCAAGATACGAGACAATAGAAATATTGGAAAATGTATCTCAGAGTTAATATCAAAGGATAGTGTATCTGTATGATAGGGTTCCATCTCATGTTATTAAACGAGTTATACTGTCTCTAGATAGGAATAGTTGATAGGCCAGAATGAAGCGATCGCATGGCCTCGAAACAAACCAGATCTCATGATTCATTTTATCAAAGAATTTACATATTTCCAGAATGAAATTCATCAACGGGATCTGAACAGACAGAAATATTGGTCATGATCAATGATTTGTCTCTCCGTTGAATTAATTCCAAAAATACTCATCTGTTTTCGAAGATTTGATTCCTGAGAATGATGGATAACTCTTCACAATTCTGAGTACGATCATCCTCTGGCAATAATAATCAAATGTCATAACCTTTTTAATCGAAAACCTAGATTCATCATCAAAGCCTCATCTATAAAATAATAATTGAAAAATAGAAAAGCACTGTTTCCTAGTTTTCGAATGCTCGTATTCTGAGAAATACAGAAGAATCAGTCATTTATGTACCAAGGATGGAACACTGTCTATTATAGTCGATTCTGCGAATTATAAGGTACATATTGAATTTTTTTGTCGACCTCAAACACTTATATGCACTCACGGTCCTATTCACACGTGGAATCTATCGGATTTCGAGAAGAATTCTTTTGAATTATCTGACAGCAAATGACAGTTGTTGTCAACTCATTCTCCGTGCGAACCAGGGTTGCCAATTCAATTTTTATTCCATTAGTAAGTGAATACCATGTCGAAAATTCAGTAAATTGCAATAGATCATACTTATTTCAAGGAAGTGAAATGAACCTATTATATTTCTAAACATTATGTACAGGGTGGGCAAAATTGGGCGTTCTTACGTGCTATCTCCATAACTAAAGGAGGGCATCAAAACAGGGATATACATGTTACGGGTTCGATTTTGAAGAAATCTAAAATGGCGCATCCGGAATTTTGATATCTTCATTCGTTTCAGAGATCCAGGGGGAAAGTGAAAAATCGACAATTTCGTATTTATTTTCTGACTGCTTTATGGTGGGGAATATTGAAAAATTTTCAGAGTTTATTCATATAGTGTACTGCGAACAATCCATTCGCATCATCAGGAGTTTTATAGAGGATGACATTGAAAAAATACAACATCCAATTATATTTCTTGATACAGGAACACCCCTCATATTTTGGCACAGTTAGATAGTCCCAGGCGTTCCAGTTCCAAATATATATATATAACTCTACCTTCCTCCTTCACAGCTCCGAAATATTCGCAAAAATATATTCAGCGTGTCACATTTTTCATGGATGCACCTCCGTATCTTCAGCAATGATCATTGAGGTTGAATTCATGAATTCGCATCTGTGAGGGAAATGCTCGTAGAGTTAGAGATATTCTGGATATTGAATTTCCACAAACATGGATCGGTACATACGGGCCAATTCAATGGCCCCCTCCGTTCACCTGACTTGGGTCCCTTGGATTTTTTCATATAATTATATCGTCAAGATCACCAAAATGCTGAAAAACTGCGTGAAGACGTTATTTCAGCATGCGAAAAAGTGACACCGATTCACATCACTATCGCAGTGAATTCTGTAAGAAAACGATGTCAAGTTTGCTCAGGCCAGAACGGAATACAATTTGAACACCTTCTATGGACCTATATTTCTCAACGTCATATTCGAATATTCCTTTGTCAAATATTCATTTGTCTGGAAATGAGATATTCGGATTGAATTTTTATTTCTTATTTTGAACCAATATTCTCTCTCTTGATAGCATTCTCCACAAATGTCGATGATTCCATAGCTGCTAGCGAGCAGTGTTATCACTAGAGATATTCCTTCGAGTGTATCATTGGCATCTCTCTCACAGTTGCGAATTCATGGATCCAACCTCGATGATTATTGCGGGAGATACGGAGGTGCATCAATCATGAAAAATGTGATGACACAATGAATTTATTTTTGCGAATATTTCTGAGATTGTGAAATAAAAAGGTTGGGTTATTTAAATTCTTAAAATTGGAGAACGCTTCGGACAATCTAACTGTGCAACAATATACGGGGTGTTCCATAAGGAAAAATATGATTGGCTGCCGTATTCTTCTTATGTAGCCCTGCATAATTTCTGATGATGCCAATGGATTGTTCGCATCATACTTCATGAAGAAACTTCCGAAAATGTTCAATATTCTCTACCATAAAGCACTCAGAAAATAAAAAAGGAATCGGCAATTTTTCAATTTCTCCCTGTATCTCTGAAACGTAAGAAGATATCAAAATTTCGAATAGGTCATTTTAGGTTTCTGTGAAATCGAACCCGTAACATCTATATCGGTTTTTTGATAACTCCTTTAGTTATTGAGATAGCTCATGAAAACGCCCAATTTTGCCAACCCTGTACTCTCAGTAAAAAGAGAATCAACCCATTTCCAACAAAATAGAAACAAAAAAATCAACATTCTCATGAGGAAATACTCATATTCCTAATTCTCAACTTGAAAATACTCACAAATATAACAAAATACAGTAACATAATTATGTACTTATAAAATTTCGGTACATAAAAACAGGAAGGAAAAGTAAAACTAAACAATAAAAATTCAAAACAAATAATACAACTGAACGGTGGCAGAGGTATACGAGAAATAACATTTGATCTGAAGCGAATAAAGTATATCCTTTTTTGATTTATACATATCATCAGTACCTAGATGAACATTCATCACTTTTTTTGTTAAATTGATTTGAACAGAGCGTGCCGATATTATGCATATAATATGTTCATGCGATCAACTGAAGATTGAAGATAATAGTATTTGAAATAAAAAATGAATGTCAATAGTTATTTGTTTAACTAGGCAGCAAAGTAGTAGATTGACTGCCGTGGCTGAATTCATAGCCGATCGTAGCGAGGCTAGGAATCCAGCTAAGGCAGTCAATCTACTTTGCTGCCGAGTTGAACATATAATTTTTTCAACTACGAAATAGCCACAATGCTCAAAGTGGAATGATATGTTAAATAAATGCAAAAAGCTCAAAGTCATTTCCACACAGTGTTCAAAAACTGAACAACAATGGTAGATTTCGAGAGAAAAACAACTACTTCCCTGGCTAATGCCACGCAGGATATTGAATTACATCCTCCCGAAATCTATGCATCGACTCGTATAAACGAATGCTTAATCGAAATCAATAGGGCATTCAGGAAAGAATCACTTGTATCAGTATTCGTTTATACGAGTCGATGCATAGATTTCGGGAGGATGTAATTCAATATCCTGCGTGGCATTAGCCAGGGAAGTAGTTGTTTTTCTCTCGAAATCTACCATTGTTGTTCAGTTTTTGAACACTGTGTGGAAATGACTTTGAGCTTTTTGCATTTATTTAACATATCATTCCACTTTGAGCATTGTGGCTATTTCGTAGTTGAAATTACGCCAGTCGGGCAACCAGCCACTCCCGTATGGGAATTTCAGTTTTGGAGTGATTCTTTCCTCTGTTCTACTCAGATGGCGTTACTTTCATTTTGTCGATGAAAGACGCCTCGGGGTGGATAAAATGCCAAATTGATTTTTGTTTGGCTAGGCTTCGCTGAGTCGGCGGTCTTAGGACTGCTGGCTGGAGACTACACTGCACTGATGAGAGTCAAAGAGCTCGAAACCGGTCTGTGGTTGTCTAGCGGCCTGCTTAATCGAAATCAATAGGGCATTCAGGAAAGAATCACTTGTATCAGTATTCGTTTATACGAGTCGATGCATAGATTTCGGGAGGATGTAATTCAATATCCTGCGTGGCATTAGCCAGGGAAGTAGTTGTTTTTCTCTCGAAATCTACCATTGTTGTTCAGTTTTTGAACACTGTGTGGAAATGACTTTGAGCTTTTTGCATTTATTTAATATAATTTTTTCTTCGATTGTTCATGATGATATGGGAGAATATTGTATCTGCGAATTAATACAATTTCCACAATCTCTTTATTCTTCCTGTATAGTGTTCAATTAAAATGAAATTTGATAGAAATCGCAGTTGTTGGTTTGACAATTCATGAAATTTCTGACAGTTGTGCGAAAATATATCGGTATATTTAAATTATTCTATAATGGACAGTGATAGCGACCTGGAAGTATACTTACACCTCCATTAATACGGGAGGTGGCAAAAAATATAGAGTTGAATTTGTTGCCGGGGAAGTCTCGGATGAAATATGAAGGAAATTATAAACGATTTATGGATTTTTGATTTTGCTGATAAATATCAATCAGAAAAGTAACCATTTTGCTGCCTAGGCAGCAAAGTACCCACTTTGCTGCCTAGGCAGGAAAAGTAATACTTTGCTGATTGATATGTGTCAGCAAAATTAATATTTCCTGCAAATCGGAGGAGAAATAATTTTCCAGTAGGCTATGAGATGTTTTAGTAGATCAGTACATGAATATGCAAATCAGGAAATCCACTGAAGATTCAGTAGAATTGGCAACTCTGCAGCGGACAGAAAGTGTTTGCGGATAGATAATAAACGTATTTGAACGAAAAGTACTTGCCCTCGTCAATATTCAGCTTTTCGTTCGTAAGAACGTAAAATGTGGTTTTTTGTAGAGGTCAACGAAAAATTGTATCAGGTGGTGTTTTTTTTTTTTGAAAAGCTTCCCTATGGAATGTGTTCTATTTCTGAAAAACTAATGAGCATATTGAGTATATTGAGTAGTTGATGAGATATTGTAATATGTAATGTAATAGGAAGTCTGCACGATACTTATACGTCCCCAATCATGTGCCAGATATAAAATTTCTCACAGTAGTTTTTCCCTCTTCTTCTCCACTTCTTTCCATTCATTTCTTCTGTCTTTCATCTTCATCAAACGGTTCGCAAGATCCTTCATGGAGTTTTCTATTAGTTCTCCGGAATGGGGTCGGGGATTAGCATCTTCCCATCTTGCTTGAAAACGCTCAATCTCTTTCTCCAAATTCTCTCTTTCGATATTCAGAGTCGTCTTTATAGTTCCCATCTATCGAATATCAGAATAATCAGAGTTCGACCTATCTTCTACAGACAATTCAGTGAAACCTAGTCAATTCCAATTCTACCTCTACATAATTCAAGTTGAAAATATAATTTCCGAAGAAATGTCATCGGAAGTAGTTTTTTGTGGCCCGAATCAGTTCTTCACTGTGTAACACTTCACCTATCTGAATACTATGGTTACACTGATAGAAATTTTCCGTTGTAAATACATAAAGATCACTGTACCAAATCAAGCGTTATGGTGAAATAGGCGCCATTCACTACATTTATCAAATATAACCACCACAAAATGGTTTGATTGGGGCAATATGACTTACTGTTATTAGGAACCCCGTCGGTTATTATTCACCACTACAAACGACTACCACTACAGCTCTTCGGTTCGTATTAACCAGTGAAAACAATGAATGTATACTCTACTTATTCAATTCATATTCACCACTACAAACTAGTGATTCCTACTCATAGATTCTTTCATTTTTGTCTGTTCAATTTTGTCTATTCAAACTCTGAATCAATATTTTTCTACCGCCCTCAGGGACATACTTATTTGGAGAAAAAACTGGAGAATATCACAGAATCTCAATAATTTGCAGGTATGTTATGATAATCAGGTAGGTAGTAGAGATATTTATCTGAGAATATCAATGAAGTTGGGAATGAGAGAAAAATCGAATTATTGTGAAAATTTGATTTTTGTCTGCAACAAAATTGAGATTTTTAATCAATGACGCGTGCAACGTTCACCTGAAATTTCAGTTTCAATATGAAACGAATAGATATTTCACTAACTGTTGAACACCGGTAACAACTCTTCGAGTTACCACTGTCAGGTACAGTTCGTACTCCACAGTACCACAGTTCAATTTCATCAGGTCAAGTTGGTCAAAATCGTAATGCTTTTCGGTCAAGAGCCTACCACACATCTATAAACATTCAATTATTGATCACCCTGTATAGTTGATACAGAAAAGGTATCTGAGAAGTATATGGATGGAACTGGGTAATCCTAGATGAATTTGATTTTTACTGGAACCCGATGTTTACAGTTACCTAAACAATGTATTATTCGAATACTCGAATATTTTGATAATTTAGTGAATTATTTTTCACAATAATCTTACATGGATTCCGTGTACCAAATTGTTTCTTGACGAGTAATCATATCGACAGAATGAGTCGATACGTTTTGAGATATTGAAGATTTAGGTGAAATCCTAATGAAACTGAGATGTATTTTGGAGAAGATTAAGGGATTATACAAGTAAGTAAACAAGAATTGATTATGCCTACCTGTTTGGCCATGATATGTTGGTGGTTGTCTAATAAACTCTGCAACCTATCCCAAGCTGCTTTCAATCTACTGACAGCACTAACTTGTTCTCTTGACCAACTAGCTAGTATCTGAGACTTTTTCAACATTTCATTGAAGAGCTCCAACATCTGCGAAAGAATGATATCGTGTGTGAATATATATCAGTTACTTCATATCACTTATATTATGAGCCATTTAATCCATTAGGAACAAATTGCAGAATCAGTTTTGGAAATTAGTAGTTTTTGCTGATTCAAGACTATGTGGTTATTGATACAACGAGGAAACCATTCGTATTGGACATTGATAGTTCTGAAATTCACTAATTTATTTTCCTCAAAACAGAGTGCTTTCGCATGAATATCGATTATCAACACTGATGTTCTGTTTGTGATCACAAGAAATCACAGTGTGTAAGACACAAAATACTAGTGATAATGACTGAACTAGTTGTTATGATTCATTATCTTATGTGCACTGGATAAGGTATTTGTATAGCACCAGAAATTTTTTGCAGGTACTACTGAATTGTACTGCCGTTTCAAGTCATTTTTCCATCATTCGAGAATCTAGACCAATGATGAAAGATACTCAGTCAGTTTGTGTATTTTTGTGATACAATGTGGCCTGTGGCAATTTTGTGATGAAATCAATGATCTTGTGCATTTACGATATTAATTAATATTCACACCAATACAAAAGCTCCTCTTGCAGAAGAATTCCAGTTTTCCTACGATGAAAACGATTCAAATCGGAATTCGCTCATCAATGACGGATGTGTACAATTAGAGACTGAATATTACTAATCAAGTTAACGTTGAGAAGTGATGACAATATTCTTTCTGGAAAGAACATTTCCACAAAATATAGCTACTCTTCTTCCTTAACGAATAAGTTTTCAAATTGCATGTACTCATCGAATGGTCTATCAAAACATCTACTTACTTCTGGTCCATCTCTCATTATATTATTATGAACAACACTTGATTCTCCAACTTCTTCTATGGTAACAGGCTGTTTGGTCAATGCACTGGTAGAGTGATCTACGTAGTTCTGGAGTTTCACCACGTCCTGAGCTATAGAGTCTTTCAGAGAGTGAATTAGCTGGTCCCAGTAGCTCCTATTGTGAGATTCAAGATCTGATCTGAGTCTTGAAAGGCCGATCAAGAAGCAGCCCACCCGTTCTTCGGAACTTGAAAAAGCACATGACATTCTTAGAATTTTGGCTATTATGTAGTTGAAATAACCTGATTAGGGCCGCAATTCGAGGACCATTTGTCATGCATTTAGGAAAGAAACACCAGAAAAGTCGTTGATTTTCTCCCATCATATACGAGGTGTTTCTTAAGTACGTGTTGGAAATTCAGAAACATCAAAATAAGAAGAAAAGTTTGAATAAATACAGGTTGTCTGTAAAAGGTTGAAACATGGCTCGGCTGTGGACTCCTGGGATAAAATCTAGTTGATTCAGGCCAACTTACCTATATTCAAAATCGTCTCGTTGAGTTGGTACAAGGCGTTGAAGTTTTCTTGGGAAAATAATTTTGCTCATAAAAAGAGTAGGCTGAGAGCGATTTCCATAATTTTTGGCATGGCATGTTCTGTGACTCCAAGTCACGTTTCGAGATGTTATTGATCATCATCAGTGATCTACAAGTGTTTCAATCAACCATGTTGCCGTACAAATTTGGTGATAACTTTTCAGAGGTCAGACTGGAAACGTCCAGTTTTTTTTTCCCAAAAAGATATTTTCTTCAGAAATAATTTTTGAATCGTGTCAATTCTTGATGAGCCTCGAGGTTCATTTGCAAATAAATAATTTCTGATATAATGCATCCTGCGCATTTGTGAAAATCAATCTAATTAGTCGGACTGTTTATTAATCATGGCTACAATATATTCCCATTGTTCACAAACTGATATGTTGCTGGTCCTCAGGGGCTTTACAAGAACTCTCGCGTTACAGATTTAGCAATAACTATTCAGGACCTAAGTTGAGAACTTTAACGCCTTGTACTAACTCAACGAAACGATTTTGGATATAAGTAAGTTTGCTGTAATCGACTCATTTTCATCTCAGGAGTCTACAATGAAGGCATATCCCAATCAGATTATTTTTCTGAAAAATGCATTAGATGCCTCAGATCAGAAATCATTTATCCGCAAATGAACTTCGATACTTGTCAAAAATCAATACGATACAAAAAATATTCATGAAGGAAATATCTTCCTGGAAAAAAAAAACTGAAAGTTTCCAGTGTGACCTCTGAAAAGTTATCATCACCAGATTTGTACGGCAACATGGTTGATTGAAACACTTGCAGGTCACTGATGATGACCAAGAACATCTCAAAACGTGACTCACAGTCACAGAACATGCCATGCCAAAAATTATGAAAATCAATTTCAGCCTACTCTTTTCATGAGCAAAATGATGTTTCCCCAAAAAAACTTCAACGCCGTGTACCAACTCGACGTGACGATTTTGAATATAGGTAAGTTGGCCTAAATCAGCTTGTTTTTAGCCCAGGAGTCTACAGCCGAGCCATGTCTCAACCTTTCACAGACACCCTGTTTATGTCCGAAAGTTCTGACGTTCATAGTATGTATCTGTCATATTCGAATCATTTTGAATGAAGAAGCGCAGGGCGACTATGGTGCTATTGTCACAATGCAAGATGTGTAATTTAATGATAAAAATAATAATAATAATAATAATAATGATAATAATGAATGTCAACATTCAGAAACACTCACAGTTGTCATTTCTGTGTACGAACTCTTATTCAACTGAATACCATCCAGTGACTCTAGTAGAACTCAGGTGGAGATCGAATAGCTCGCACAAGCGGGTAACCCAACACTTTTCTACTTATTGGTGAATGCGCTGAATTCGAATTGGTGGAATTGTCAGTCAGGCTTAGTCGCCAATAATTAAACAGAGTCCGTGGATTTTCATCCTAAGGAATATAAGAGGTACGCTATTTCCTTGAAAATTCAAAATTTCTCGACAGTGGATGTTCAGTTGTCATATTATAAGTACTTCAAATTATTCGGGTTATACATCGATAACTTGTTGCATAATTACGAAGAGGGTCAGTTTTGACAGTTGAAATAATTCGACCGCGAAAAGGGAGATGATTCTGTTGAATTGACACGATTTGTGATTGTGCAAGGAGATTGAAGATTTTTCAAGTTCAAATTTTATCCGATGCGATCATTTTTTGATTAGTTCTGAACGGACGTCAAAATTTGACGACGCGCTCTGTTCGTATGTAACAATATGAAGTGGTTACTATGAAGATAAAAATTATTATGATTAGTGAAACTACTATATGTATATCCACGTATATTCGCAATTATTCAAGGGAGCTTAAGTCAATTGAACGTTCAGTTCGGATTGAAATCATATAACGAAAATGATCTGAGATATCTCACGTTCAGGACATGATTTTTTTGCACAATGATTTCGATTTTCAGATTACTGAAGACTCAACCACCAATTTTCTACTGTCGTTTTGTCGTTCTCGCTAGAGTCACTGGATGGTTTTAGTTAGGTAAGAGTTCAGACACAGAAATGACAACTGTTGGTGTTTTCGAATGTTTAGATTTATTGAGTTAAACACCTTTGCATTGTGACAAGAGCATCATAGTCGTCCCGCGCTTGTTCATTCAGAATTATTCAAATTTGACACTGAACTATATGGGCGTCAGAATCGGAATGAAACATATAATATCGAGAAAGAAATGTGACGTAACTTCACAGAATAGAAATTATGGTCCCAATGCTCGACAGCTCATGAGTCAGGCGAGTGGTCGTGGATTCGACTAAGTCAAGTTTTAATTTATTATTTTCAATTTCATGAACAATCAAAACAAGATAGTGTGAGCGCCACCCAGTATAAACTGGGAAAGGAGTAGGGAGGGGACAAAACAAAAATATCAATGCAACAGGAGTTGTTCCGGAACCATGCATATAATAAATAGATACTCTGCAGTAATAGTTACACTTGCTTTCAAACAGTATCAGTATTTAAGTGAAATTTAAATGGGAACCATAACCCTTAAAGCCTACAATATTACTAGTACTTATCTCTGAATTTGTTAGTGAGCTTATGAATAATTGCAGCAGATGTTCCTTGAACAATCTGACTTTAGTCAATGTTGGTTAGTATTACTAGAAATCTTAAATTAAGCCTCACTGTGGCTTTTCAGTGGCAAATGAAATGAATGAATGTCCTAAAAGGTGTGATATGAATTAAGAAAAAGATATATGGCCCTATGAAATGAACTATCAGCGCTGATATTCCGTTTCTCACAAAAGGAGAGAGTAATATTGAACTTGAAGTATCATAAATACTAATCAAACGTGGAGGCTCCTCTTCTCATCACGTTGACGATTGAAATTTTTATGAAAAATCTACTTACAGTAGGTAAGTCACCAGTCTTACTGTAATGTAGCCACTACCAAATATTTCCAGAAAATTACAGTGGTTTTATTGAAATTTCCATAATCCATTAGTCCTGGGTACCTTCTCAGCATTGGTTCAGGAAAACATACAAGGTGAACATTATTTTATTCACCGACATCCATCACGGAGATACAAAATCCGGAGGAATCCAGTTGGAGAGACAAAATTTATTAATGCCCCATGAGCATTAATAAATATAATACATGGTTCAGGAAAATTAGGCAGCCGCCTTTAAATAGCACATGAAGATTTCATGGCATTACCATGTGACAAAAAAAAAGGTGAAGGTTGAAGGCCTGAAATGAAATCATTATGATAGTGTTTTCAAGACATTCCGATATGACTCGATACATAATTTATTATAATTTTGAAAATAAATATATTAGTAACTTGCCTAGAGTTGTAACTCGGCCTTCATCATAAAAGGACGTGCCTTTTGAAAACAATAATTTTCAGCTCAAAAGGTGGCATGCTAACACAGCAAAGCGCCATTAGAGAGAGAACGTTTCATTCCTCCACTACTCGATCCTCTCAAAGAATCCCTATTACAATAGGCTACAAGTTGTAATTGACATTTCGGAACCGCGTCCCGTTTCAGGTTATCGAGTGTGGTGTGAACTAGGCTGAGTGCTTGAAGAGCGCGCAGAGTTCACTATTGCCAATGATTAATTAGGTAAAAGTAATTTTTACGCTGAGGCTGTGTAAATTTAAAACGAAGAATCAGGATTGAGGTTAATGGCTCAGTCAGCTGATCGCGAGTATTGTACTGTTTACCAAAAATAAACATGGACTTGAAAACACATCATGAAATGAAATCCTTTACAGGTGGCATCTGGATATTAAATACGTGCTGATACAGTGTGAAGGACGTCCAACGCGAATAGGAATTTATTTACTAAGGTACTGACTTTGGGTTTTTCTCTATGGTACTGATAATATTTGGTTATTGAAAACAGTTATATTTCGTTCTTGGTGATTGTGTTGATGAAAAATACTTGTTTGGTAGCATATTGTGAGTGGAATATTTCTGTAATGGACAGGTAGACATGAATAGTCTACTGGACCGTTACAGAAACATAAATGAGAATGTCCTGCTGCGTAATGGAATGTGGAAATTTTTAATAGAATGGATTTAATTCATTCAATTTTCTGAAGGAAATATGAACTCTTCTCTCATGAAAAGATTGAATGTATATGAACGGCCAGGATGGAAAATTTATTTGACAAACAAAATTTGTGAAATGTAAAATTCACTACTTATAACAGCAAATTGAAAGGAAACTATATTTCAGGCCCATTTCCAAATTGAAGATTTTGTGACTCATTTGGGAGAATCTGCTTTTTCATCCATCCACAAAACAAACTGATTGAAAAAAATACTAGAATTCAAATTTTATCGAGTAACTTTTTTATATTGTACAAGCTATGCCATTCAAATTTCATTTTCAAATCCCTTTCTCCCCGCAGCCGTGAAAGTTTCAGATGTCAATTCACTGAAAAAATCGAGTCCTACGCCCATGGAATGATGTTCATCATAATCATAATGTCACACCTGGCATACCAAATGATTAATTCATCCAAAATTCAATCAAAAAGACCCACTGAAGAGAATATAGGTCCTCATCTGATAATAATTGACGTCATTTAGATATGTGATCTGAACACAGCTCATATTTCACAGACTGGAACTAAGTAAGCTTCTTGCTTTTTGCTCATTTCT